ATTGTTAGACCTCTTTCAGGCATTTCTGCCTTTTTTCCAATTACGTAAGGATTTAGATTTAGTTGTAATATATTTTGACATATCGGACATTGATATAGTCCAAAATGCGTATAGGTATTTTAAGTAAATCTCACTAATTAGACCGTGTGAGGCCAATTACTCATGGACAATCTTATATATGGTAGGTCGTGACAGTGACAGGTAGTAATGTCATGATAACATTGTTATTGTTTGACAGTTTGTATTAGTATTTAATTAAAATGGGTTACACAGAAGTAGAAAATTGAAATATTATTAGGAATTAAAATAAACTATGGAGAATATCTTAACTACTCTATCTTAATTCCTATAATATTTAAATTTTCTACTTCTGTGTAACCCATTTTAAATTAATAGTAATACAAACTGTCAAACAATGACAATGTCAATGACAATGTTGTCATAATATTACCTGTCACTGTCACGGCCTACCATATAACACTGTCCATGAGTAAATAAGCCCCTCACGGACTAATTAGTGCGATTTAGTTAAAATACTTATACCCATTTTGGACTATATCAATGTTCGATATGTCAAAATATATTGCAAATAAATCTAAATCCTTACGCCATTTTGTAGCTATTTTTATTACGAACAAAATCATGTCCTAAGCATTTTTTCGTACAAAGTCATCCCGCTGAGTTATTTAAAGAAAACTACTAAAAAAAATTTTATTCACGATTAAATTGTTAATAATTTTTTTTCCTGATAAAATACTTTGTCAGCAAATTAGCCTGTTATTGTACTCATCATTTAAAATATTCCTGTGTAGTTATTTCCGAGTTGTTATCAAGAAAATGTCACCAACAGTAACTTTTCGGCCTCTGGCGACTGGAGTACTAATCTACACCACATCTACACATCATTTACGTCACGATTTGACCAATCATGGCGCGGTATTCCAATTGACGGGAAACTCTGGTAACTAAAAGGACATGCATAAACTTCAACGTATGAATAGAAGTGTATGAAAACCATGAAAACTCATATTGGGATCAGAGTGAAGCTCAAAATTAAATAATAAAATTTTAAAACTGACGCAATAGATATCAGCAGTGTGAGGATTCGTGGTAAATTGAAAATTAAAATGCTATTTAAAGGTATGCGCAATAGATATAGACAGGGTGGAATTAGCGCTAAATTCAAAATTAAAATAATAAAATTTAAACGTATGTACAGTAAAGACCGGTAGGGTGGGGATTGGCTATGAATTCAAAGTTAAAATAAAATTTAAATGCTTGTGCAGTTCGTCAGGGTGGGGGTTAGCGTTAAATATAAATTCAAGAAAAATGTTTAATCGCTTGCGCAGTAGATATTCAGCCCTATGCTGTATGAACATTGACTTCATATCAAGGTTGAAATTATAAGAAAAAATGACATTTAGACAGACATTTCAATAAAAATGGAGGTTTACTATGCTGTAAAAAACAAATTGATTGAAATTTGTCAAGGGTTTGAAATGATGTCAAGTAACCTTGAAAACTTCAAAAGTTGGTATGCACTAAAGCAGAAATTGATATAAAACTGCAGATCAAGGTTGACAAATGTCAAGAATTGTAACGGAAGTCGAAAACCTTCACGTTACGAAACTTGAAACCAATTTAATCAACAATTCTTGTTGCTCCAGCTAGGGTAGCACAAATAATTTATTCCCGTGCAATATTACATAACCTGTATATCCTTTGATATGAAAATTTGGATGATTATAATGGTAAGTGTAGCATTACTTCGATTTAACAAAGGTATAATGTTAATTTTATTTTAGAAATGTTGAATGATGATGAAAATGACGAATTAGAAGAAGATAATTATACATATAGATTATAAGAAGAAATAATTTTCAGAAAGGCCGTATATTATAGGAAATAGGCTAATTCAAAATTAATAAAAATATCCATATGAAATAAAATATTTTTAATTTAATATTTAAGTGTTTTTAATTACTTATAGATTTTAACAAGTTTTCTAATGCCACATTCAAAATAAATATACTATTTTTTAAATAATTGTTATAAGTTTTTTTCTAACATTTCGATGTGACTCCTTAACATATCATGCGACTCAAATGGTTTAGCTGAAAATGCAAAATAATTAATAATAAATAATAAAAAATTAATGTAAAAAGTTTTATACTGAAAGATTTTCCTAGATCTCTATAACTTGGGGGTGCCCATATATTAAATTTTTAATAAAACCTCCAAAAGTTTTTTTTTCTAGATTTGTTAAAATTTCAATTACAGCAATGCCACCTCCACTTAATTATTCTTATTATTAAGTGAATTTTCCTAGCTTTAGCTTTTACTTTGGTTCTTTTTCCAAAACCCAACTCTGGAATATTTACACCTGAACACGAGGCAAACAATCCAGTAATGTTTGCATATTTTTCTTCTATGTCGGTAAGGGGCTTTTCACCTCTTATTTTTCCTGGTATATGGGGTATCCATTCTATAAATGCCTGTAATTTAAAATATACTTAGTAATTTTATTTAAAAGTTGCAATTTGGTATCTATTACATATTATAAATACATGCTGTCATTTTGTATTTTTTAAGTGTAGGTAAATACTTATAATACGATTTATACAAAGAGCAATAACTGATAAGTATGTTCACAAGCAAAATATTTTGTTGACTGGTAAATTCACATAAGCTTAGTGCTTACTTATTTTTAAGTTCCCTTACCTTTTTCGATCCTTCTGCATTTTTACTGCTCCTCTCATTGCATTCACCTCTTGAGAAATACGTTCCCAGGCTTTCTCCTCTTATCATTTTATTATATCCGTCTGATCAATAATTATTTCCAAAAATTTTGTATATTGCGAACGGGTGGCTTTTTTTGATGGGATATATTTAAAAGTAACAAATAAGTCTAGAAATTGTTTTGTTAATTTTATGTTGTGATATTTACCGTTTATATGCAATTTATAAATTCAGAATAACAAAACTGATGATTAAGAATATTATAATACAATTTTTGACTGATGTCACCGTTTCTGTTCATATAGATTGTTTCCATAATCACCGGTATCTCCATATAGCAAATAGCGACGTTGCCACAAATAAACTTGAAATAAATTTCAATCAATTTTAATGTCAACGTATTGTAAGCAAGTGTTCTTAGTGCATACCAATTTTCTCCAAAATTGAAGAACAAATCAATTTTCATTGAAATCACTTCTAGGTTGATATTAATTTCAATGTTTTTACAGCATAGGGCTGATTGACAGCGTGGATTGGCGATAAATTCAAAATTCAAGATATTTAAAATGTTTACGCAGTAGAAATCGGCAGAGTGGGAGTTGGTAGTAAAATCAAAATTAAAGATGAACAGAAGTAAAATACTAATATGAACGCGTGCGTAGAAAGGATTCGCTGGGCCTTATTGGCGACTAATCAAAATTCAAAGTGAAATTTAAAGAGTTACGCAGTAAAGATTGACTGAGATTAGAGTTTGAATAGGAGAGATTATCGGGAAATTTAAAATTAGAAGAAATAAAATATACGTGACAAAATATATGCAGTACATATTTGTAACTTCATATCTTATTCCATTTAAAATCGCTGTGTTGACATAAATTTAATCTTATTCACTTTAAAATTGAAGTCAACAAAAATTGTAATCTGGTACCTATAAGATAAAGAGAGAAGTCAATAAACTCCAAACAGAATTGCGTCATTCTCATGTTACCCTGTATCATTATATTTAGGTTCTACCAGTGCCACATTTACATTCACGGGAGGTTCAAAATTAAATTTAAAACCTTGCAACCTAATACTTATTTCCTCTAAAATTACAGTGTCAGCATATTATATCGCAATATGATATCTTATTTCCTTTAAAATATTGGCAATAAATTGTAATTTAGTACCTGATAATTTTATTCACTGTCAAACAAGTGTTTGCGAAAAAAAAGTAATTTTAGGACATTGATATCGATTGATTTATACAGGGCGTTTAGTTTAAATCAAGCTGGTCATGAACCTGGTCTAAAAATAATAAACTCGCCATATAGATCGATTTGTAGCAGTGTTATAAAAGTCGATGGGGAAAAATATCATTATTTCGTTATATTGTTCATATAGATTTGAATGTAGAATATGTATAAGTCCTCAACAACAAGAAAAAACTGATGCAATAAGTTGGAATTGGGCTGCTGACATAGAAAAACATCTTGAATCAATTCAATTTACAGAACATATTTACGAATCGCCAGAAGATAAAACGTTACACATTTACAACTTACAAATGGAAAATACTGGTCAGTACATGTGCAGCCTGGGAGAGTCATTAACTGCTCCATATTTTTTAACCATTATCACTTTATCTGACAATGAAGTCATTGAGGTAAGCAAATATGTAAAGTTTATATTAATTAAGATAGATTAAAATCTCAAATTATAAAAATATATTGCATGTAAAATATTAGAATGAAATTACTAAGAGTAAAAATGTGAAACTAAAAATATAAAAAGGACATTTCTCAGGTAAATTTAAGTAAACATTTTTATATATTAGTTAAGAAACGCACCTTTTCCAGTTTTGAAGTAAAAAAAGTAATCCGTTTTTTTTTAATGTTGAGAACGCATAATCATCGTATAATGTCTGTAATTATTATTAAATTAAATTTATAGTCAATCCCTTAACTGTTTTTTTTTTTTTTTGGTTCATGAGGTTACTTATTTTACCTACGACCACTACTGTAAGTACTTAAAAACACACTGTCTGCGATCAATGTAAGATTCCTATTACGTACGGTAACAAAAAACGCATAGTTTTCCTAGCAACAGCCAATACAATACTGTTTGTATTGACCGTTGCTAGGCGGTTACTAGGAAAACTGTACGATTTTTTTACCAAGCTGTGCGATTTTTTTACCGTACGACGTAATAGGAATCTTGCATTGATCGCAGACGGTATGTTTTTATGTATTTAAAGTAGTGGTCGTAGGTAAAGTATAGTACGTAATATGTGGTGTAATGCAATTACGCACTCGCCGCTACGCGGCGTCGTAACTTTTCCATTCGTGCGTAAAATGCTTTTTACAACACTTATTACGTAATATACTATAAAATGTTTCCTTTTCGGTGTGGCAGGAATACCTATCTAATCAATTAAAAAGAGTGTAACTACAGCTCCATAAAATTATCCATATAATCTAGAACCCAAATGGTGTCGATTTAACCATTTAACGAAAAATGTCTCAAAAAAAGTTACAGGGTGTCATTTTTTTATTTCTTGTTTTGTCCTTAACTCAGAACCCAGTTAACAGATTTGAGCAAAATTTGCTGCTGCTTAGTTTCTCTTCATGAAGTATGTAGTGATTATGTTCCTATTAGGTTAAATGCAGGGCCTTCATTTTATTCCTCTTTGTACATTTAAATTTTTACACGCAACTATCAGAAATAGCTAGATAATTTTATTCTACACAAAAAATGTATACCTATCAAAAGTCGAAATTATGCTTGGTTATGAACATATTACAGAAAATATTCATTAACACACCCCATATTTTCTGGAAATAACTACATATCTGTAATAAATATAATAAATAACATAATTATTAATAAAACAGTAAACTGAAAGTTGTCAGTAATAAAAAGTCTACTAATTTATAATAAATGTTCTATATGCCCCATTTTTTCGAAGAATATCCTTAAACGTTTTATGAAATTACTGCGAATAGGAAACGATAATACGTTGGTCTAACTTGTCGTACGACATCTTTAATTATATCTGAAAGTTCTTCTCCCTTATTAGGTGTTACAGAGTTGTAAACAATAGGAAATTCTTGCCGAAGGAATTACAAATAATTTTGGCCATTCAACCAACCTTGCAGGTATAGCGATAGTCCTCAAAATAAAATTTCCCATAATCCGGCACCAGACGTTAATTGAAAATTTGTGTTGCAAGTGATGCTCTTTTATTGCGTGTGGATTTTCTTAGATTTTCCAATTAAAAACACCTCTACTTATCCACTTATTGATATTGTCATGTTGTTATGGACACGTAGTTATTTCCAAAAAATATGGGGTATGTATTAATAAATATTTTCTGTAATATTTTCATATTCATGATTTCGACTTTTGATACGTATACATTTTTGGTGTAGAATAAAATTCTCTGCCTATTTCTGATAGTTGCGTGTAAAAATTTAAATGTACAAAAAAGATACAGAAGAATATTCACAGAGTTGTAGTAAAATGAACGCCCTGTATGATTTAAAATAATAACTGCATACTTCATGAAGAGAAACTAAGCAACAGCAAGGAGAAAACAAGAAATAAAAAAGAAACTTTAACACCCTGTAACTTCTTTTATGACATTTTTCGTTTAAACACGTTTAGTTAAATAGACACCATTTGGGTTGTAGATTATACCCTTGAAGTACTTAACATTCGTTAGGTGACACCCTGTATATCTACTAGGTACTTATCATTCTGGTAATTCTGTATTTCATATTCCAGTACCAAACGTTTAACAAGATCAGCCCCATTCACTTTTCAATAAATATTTATGCACTTTATTTAAAATTAAAAAAAAAATAAAAAAACAAAATTTTCGTATTTTCATAAATTTCATAGTAAATTGCATAATGGTTGTAGGTACTTTTCTACTTATTTTTTAACAAAGAATTACAGTTTTTCAAGAGAATTTTAATTAAAAGGTTAACGAGAAAAATAACTACGTCGGAACAAAAAAGTTTAAAAATACACAAAAGCTTAAAAGGTATGTAAACATTGTTATTAGTATGAATAAATTTAAGAAAAATATTGACTGGAAGTTTACTGATTTTGGTTTTTGTCTGCCATATCTACTGGAAAATTATTATTTCTTGTTCAATTTGTATTCATTTTCATTAAACATCACTCTCAAAGTTTTGTGTTGCTTTTTTAAATTGGGTTATAACAATGTTAAACTATGTGTACCGTGTACATATTTTTTAATGTTATTATTTTTTATATGAATCTCGTTCAGATTCAGTTTTGTTCTATATGTTAACCTATTAATTAGTTTAAATTAAGTAAATTAATTAGTTCATGTAAAACAAATTGAAAGTTCAATTAGCTATGTGAAGTTAACATCGAACGATAATAATCGAATTTTTCTTTAATGCAATTATTTGTACCCGTTTAGTACTGGTTTGTACCACTTTTATTTTCATTTGTACCTCAAACCGTAAGAGATTAGGGATGAATACATGACATGAAATATACAAACAAATATACATTGGAAATCGTTAGTACCTGTGCACCACTTTTATCTTCATTTGTACCTCAACCTCAAACCCTATGGGATGAGGGATGAATAAAAAATATATAAATCGAAAAATTTTGTACAAACGAAAATAGTGGTATAAATAGGTACTAAGGAATATAATCGATTGCATTAAAGAAAAACTTGATTATCTAAAGTTCGATGTTAACTTCACATAGCTAGTTCAATCACCATCTATCTACAAAATCTATGAAAATATAATAATTTGACGAGTAATTATTTCAAAATATTCATAAGCGAAGTTACTTTTTCAAAATAGTGAAAAATACTGATAATTCGAGTTAATGGCTGATTGAGAGCTCAATCGATTCGGGATGACGTCTAGAAAAATGTGCATAAAAATCGTATTCGCACATAAACAATTGCAAAAGTTATAAACAAATAAATATTTAAAAATTAATAATAATAATTAATAATAATTTTTGCAAATAACTCGAAAAATATAAGCGTTAGTGTCAATTTCAAAAAAGATCCTAGAAAAGGAAATTTCCTATAAAAATGTCCCCACTCCCGAATCTCTATTGTCATTATAATTTTAATTTAATGTTGAAAGTAGGGATTTTTGCGTCAAAAGCAATGTACGTACGGCACCGCGAAACCAACCTTAAGACATAAAAAAAATGTTTAAGATATTAAATGTTAATATAAAAATTTAAAAAATTGTATTATTTAGACAGTTGAATAAAAAAAATATCGGCCGATAAAATTTGTTTCATCAATTTTTCAACAATAGAACCATTGTTTAATTTTAGCACCTTTTTTTTATCTGACTTTGAATGATGACGTGAACTCTTAAAATTTTTAGTCCTATTTGGTGAAAAATCGATGAAAAATTTTTTTCTCGACGGAATTTTTTTTATTCAAT